ACACTGGACTATTTGAAGAACCTGGAAACAGGACTGGAGGAAGGATTGTTAACAAATTCCTATATGCAGATGGCACAACCTCGCTGGCTGAAAATCAAGGGCCTTATAGCAAGTAGTAGTAAAGATAAAAAATTACAGCCTTGACCATAGATTACATACAGCTCAACTACAGAATTTTCAATATGTCAACATAAAAAAAACAAAAACGCTCACATCTCACTAAACAGAAAACATCACAATAAACAGACAAATGATCAAAGTTTGCAAGGATTTCAGTTTACTTGAATATACAATCAATGCTCATGGACGCAACAATCAAGAAATCAAACAATGTACTGCACTGGGCAGTGTGGGCACAAGACCTCTTTAAAGTATTAATGAGCAAAGATGTAACCTCGAGGACTAAGGTGCGACTGTCCCAAACCAGGTATTTTCAATTACACTTGTATTATTCTGGGTAGACTAGAGAAACAAATCCATGGACACACATATGTGTACAAGAAAGAGTTTATATACAAGAACAATTGAACATTGAGAAAACATCCCAACCCAAGCCCAGTCCAAGGCAGTAAGTCTGATATTAGCCAATATATTCCATACCAATCTATAAGGGCCTCTTCAGACTCACAAAACACATGCAATGAAGCCAAATGCAGGATGATCACAAGCCAGTGCATAGAAAGTCTTTGAGGCCAGTAACATTGTAAGCATCTCAGTGCTGGCAAGGGTCTCTCTGTGTTTTCTCCAGCTTCAGAGGTCTGGTTGCAACCATGTGACTTCTCTTCTGCAATGTCTCCCAGGGAGTGGCAGAGAGAGAGAGTAGTGTTTTTCCACCTCCAAGGAGGAAGTACCAGATTTCCCAGAATTCTCAGGAAGTCATACCTACACAGAAGTCTCATTGGCTATCTCCAGATTGACAGCCTAGACTCTACCCCTACACTCTTAATCCTTAAATTGACACCAGATTAGGTGACTACCACACTAATTAACATTGAAAAGCTGTATTTCCTTTTAAATTTGCTGTACACGAATTGAAAATACATGATATTACTGGCATAATATAAAAATATTTATATTACATCTATGTTTGGCAGGGTTCTCTAGAGAAGCTAAAGCAGGACACTTATGATTGATTATATATATTACATATGTGGATATATAATATATATGGATAAATTTATATAGCAAAAATGAATATAACAGCAAATTAGTTTACACAGCAGTACAGAGAGCTCAGTCCAACTCACTTCCATGGAACAGTTAAAACACTGACTCCCATTGCCAAGGAAGCAGACATTAAGTAGGAAGGCTCAATGTCGAGGTGAGACAGCGTAGAGAAGCAGGTCTTGGTGGAGCCTGAGGGTGTAGTGATTCAAAGTGGCTGGAGGGCAGCGGATGGAGGGGAGACAAGACAAGTGGAGCCGGCCCGCAGGCAGCAAACACAGCAAAGTGGGACAGTGCAGCAGCCTGGAACAGCACAGCAACACAGTTCACCATGGCCCACAGGTTGGCTCGGCTCATGGGTAGCACAGCGCATGTGGCGAGGCAGGGCAGCTAGTTCAGGCAGCCACACTGGTCCATCACCAGGACCATAGGGAGAGAGAGGGGCTGGCCTCCAGTGAGCCATTTATCTTGGTAGCACCTCTAAAGGAGGACATCAAGCTGCGACCTGACTGACAGGCTAAACTCCACCCTTATCTTCTTACAGGTGTCATGTTGGCACAAAAAACTTAACTATCACAACATATTTTCTGCTCAGGTTGCACCAAGATAAGCTTTATGAAATCAAGAGCAGGGCTCAAATTTCAAAGTAATGTTGTTTACACATTTTCATTCTATGAAAATAAGATTATTTCCAAACTACATTTTTTTCCTTGCTTATTCTATTTGTTTTTAAACTGCTAAGCATAGTATCAGTGAAAAGTGCAATTACAGAATTATCCTTGATTTCATCTCAAATTATATCCTTTTTTGAAATATTTCTTAATATTTAAGGAGAATTAAACATCCCCCCAAAATTTAAGGGCAATTACTCATTCGTTTTTCTCATAAAGAACCAACTTGTATTAAAATATCTTGATATAATTACGATGATAATTAGGATTATGATAGTGACAATAATGATACCAGTATCTGAATAATTTAGCGTCAGATGCTTTATTGAAGAGAGGAAAAAAAAGAGAATACCAGTACATTCATTTATAAATAACCTGATCCTAATTCTAAGTGGTGGAAATGACTTTCAGATTCTCCTTTATTCGAATGTAACGATGAGTTTTCTAAGAAATGACCTAAACCTTCATTTACTCATTTTTCAGTCTCTGACCAATTATTTCAAAAAATACATTCCAAATCCATTTATTGCACAATGAGCTTCCTCTACACACTCCCCTACTTCCACAAAACCTCCAATGATATTTTTATGTCCATGTAAATCATATCAATTTCCTTTTCTTAATTCAGAGAATCAATATATTGAAAAAAAATACTTGCACTGTCTGGCAATGCTGCTGAGGAACACAATGTTAATCAATATCTAGGGGATTCTAAGTTACATAAAACATGCATAAAAATAGTTTTAAAAGAGCAGAAATATATATTTTATAAATGTTAAATAATATTTAATATTTCAGTAATTTAATAATGGTTAGGAAGCAAATTATATATAGTGGATATCAGTATAGATCTAGATAGCACACTATAGAAAATATGATTTTTAATTCGTGATTGATTATGTTCCACAGAAAAATATTTCAGTTTTACAAACAGAAAATTCAATAGCTTTCAAATGCCAAAACTTTAATTTTAGAATTTCCTACATTATTCAACTCACACAGTAATAGGTTTCCCAGAAGGAAAGAGTAAATGTATGTATAATAAATTAGGTTATCAATTCAAATTTTTTAGAGTGTTCACTATTAAAATAAAGTCTACACTGTGCCATATCCTTAGATCAAAGCACTGAGGATAACACTAAATATTGATATATTAAAAGTTGTGATGGTTAGTTCCAATCAAGCCAATTTGACTCACAGCAACTTTGAGTACAACAAAACACAACGAACACTGCTCAACCCTGCATGACCTCAATTGTTGCCTTGTCTGGGTCCATTACTACAGCCACTGGGGGCCTTCCTTTATCTCACTGACCCTCTCTGCTGCTACCAAGCATAATGTCTTCTCCTGGACCTGGTCCCTCCGGATAGCATGCCCAAAGTATGTAAGACAATGCCTCACCATCCTCACTTCTAAGGAGCATTTTGGTGTCATTTCTTCCAAATATTTATTTTTTCATTCTTCTAGCAGTCTGTGGCATATTCAACATTCTATGCCAACACCATCAATTGTTCAGTCTTCTTTATTCAGAGTCCAGCTTTGCATGCATAGGAGGCAACTGAAAATACCATGGTTGGGTCAGGTGCACCTTTGTGGTGCACTGTGGCTTGGATTAGATGCACCTCAAAGTGACACCATTGATTTTTAACACTTTAAAGAAGTTTATTTGCAGCAGATTTGCCAAATGCAATACTTTGTCCGGTTTCTTGATTGTAGCTTCCAGGCACATTTACTGTAGATACAAGTAAAATAAAATTCTTGACACCTTTACATTTTCTGTGCTGATTATAATGTTCTCTATTAGTCCAGTGGCAAGGGTTTCGTAGCTCATACTGAAGGCTTCAGTCTTTGATCTTTATCAGTAAGGGCTTCAAGTCCTCTTCACTTTCACAAGTTCTTAATGAGGCTTCCTCCATTTCTGTTGCAGGTTCTTCTTCACACAATCTAGTTTCTCATATTACTGACTCATCACACAGACTGAACACCTAGGCTGAAAGGGTAAAAACCTGATGCACACCTTCCCTGACCTTAAACAACAACGCGCCACCCTCTCATTCTGATCAAATGACTGCGTCTCAGTTCAAACACAGGTTCCTCATGCGCACAATTAAGTATTCTGAAATTCTCATTCTTTAAATGTTATCTATAATTTTTATGATCCACATAGTCTAATTTATTTGTATAAACAATAAAATAATAAGAAATTATGACTATAATAAAATAATGAGCAACAACTTTTTTTCAAACAGAGAAAAACAATTATGAGTTGAATACATCCTTTGTTGTCCCTTTGCTATTTTTAGAATTCGTTAAACAGGATTAAAATGGGAGACATTTGGAATGTCCCAAATAATCAGATAATGAGGAATATAAAAAGGTAATGCAAAAAGTAAAAATAAAATATGAAAAAACTTCACTTTATCTCAAAAAGAACTAAAAGATTCCTGAGTCAATACTTCTAACACAATTATAATTAAGAAAAATAAAGCCTCATAATTATTTGTTCCTTTGACAGTTTTGTCAATTAACCAACATCTACAGAAGGTCCAGAGGGTGGGTAGGGGGATGCTAAACCAGTCTTTAAAGTCAAGATATTTGGTAGTCATTTCAAGGAAAAAAATCAGTACAGCACAGACAATCTAACATGAGGAACTTAATATACAACTCACAAACTCACTGTCATCGAGTCAATGGTGACTAATAGTGACCCTATAGAACAGTTTCTGAGACTGGAACTTCTTATGGGCATGCTTTCCATGCCCTGTATTTTCCCCCAAAGGCAGAAACCACTACAGAAGTGAACTCACTGCCTTCGAGTAGATTCTGAGAAGCCATCACTAACTATTGAAAGTATTGTGAGATTTTGAGCAGCAGGAAGTGAACATGGGCAGGGAAAAATATAAAAACAGAGAAGAATCTAAGGACACTGATAAAAGCTAAGAAGCAAATGAAAGTAAGTGTCAGAGAGAAACACGTTGAGAACAATGCTGTAGCAATCAGAAGTCAGAATTAATATATTAAAATGAATCAGAGCTATAAAGGACCAAGAAAAAAGGTCCACCCAGAAAAGCCTTGCATCACAAGGAAAACGGGCAGTAAATATTAAATGGAGCATTCATTAAAGCCACTGACATCTTATTTCATGCACTGGAGCGCTTACTTACCCGATTAATATGGTTGTTGGTTAAGATAACTTGTAGCAGAGTTTTCTCAAATTCTTCCAACTTCTGGGAGCACTTTTGACGAATATGATTCCCTAAGTAACAATCACTGAACAGCCTAGCTAAAGTACCAACAGCTTCTGTCCAAAATCTTGAAAAAGGAATTTTGGGATTAGTGTAAAAAGTGATCAGGCCATCCAGCAACTGAAAAACAGAATCAGATACTACAGAATAGTCATTTTCCAGCTGGCTTAAATCTGTTTTCAGATTGCCTGATTCTGTCAAGCTCTTCAGTTCAAGTAGATGCTGCAGGAATTGCATGTGTGAAGACAGAGGGTTTGGTGGCATGGCACCATGTCTGTTCTTGATGGGCAGTGGTGGGAACGGTGTGAGGGGACAGTTCTCCTCCGAGTGCTGGGATGTTTCTAAAGGTTCAGTTGGCTGCTCATTTGATAAATCACACCCAGAATCTTCCAGCATAGTTGATGTATTCTCAGAGATTGTAGGCTCCTGAGTCTGTACTTGGGATGCTGGGTTTCCTGAAATAGGAAGAGATATAAGGATTATTTTTCTACATCTAAAATTTTTTCATGTAAAAACTAAGCAATAAATTGTCTAACTTAAAATACTAAAAGAGAAGATACATATTAAATATTTACAAACAGTGTAAAAAACTGAACAGAGCAACAACCATGATATAAATTACTTAGGCTGACCATGTAAAAGGTCTTTATCTTCACTGGCAAGAAATAATGGTAATTGATCCATATATTTGCATGCTACCATCTCTCATTTATCCATTTATATATTCAGTCTCTTCCTTACAAAGATGTGGTCTACTATGTGCCAAGCTTCAATAAAACAGTATAGAGAGCCACGCGGCCATGTCTGAAGGTCACAGTACAGTATAGATAACAGAGGTAATCACAAAGGAATAAGATATTATAAGAGATAAGGTCTGCAAAGTATCCTATGAAAGTAGGAAAGCTATTGAACACCCTTGCCTACATCCCATGGAAGTAATGAGGAGGAACTGAGTTCAAAATTAAAAGTCTGGTGAGTGGAAGACGGTAATAATATTCCACACATCAAGGAATAAGAACAAAAGCACAGAAAAGGGAGAAACCATTGTGTGTGTGTGTCATAAGCCGTTTGATATTTCTAGAGCAGGTAGCTCGAGGCAAGAGATAAAAGATGGACAAATATGTAGAGACAGGTCAAAAAGACCTTAAAGGATAATTAAAGACCTTAGAATTTATCCTGTAGGGTGTAGGGCGAGTTTTCTTCAACCCTGAATAAAAGCATAAGACTTTAAAAAAATCATATATACAATGGTCTAATATGTAAATGTAAATACGTATATGTAAGCAATGTATATATACACAGAGATAAACTTTATCTCTATATCTACCTGCTGAGCTGGAAGCTACTTGATGGCAGTGAGTTTGGCTTTTATATGTCTCTCTATACACACAGGAAGCTGGGTGACATAGTGGGTTGTGCATTGGACTGCTAATCACAAGGGCCGAAGTTCTAAACCACCAGTCACTCCTCAGAAGAAAGATGAGGCATTCTCTTTCCATTACAAGCTATAATCTCAAATATCCACAGGGCTACTTCTACTCAGTCCCCACAGCATCACTATTAGTTTGCATAGACTCCATACCAGTAAGTTTGTTTCCTTTTTTTTAATCTGCACATTATCTGCACAATAGAAACAGGTAAAAAATTTATATCTAAACATGTATATTTTGTTTTATCGAATCTAATTATTTATATTGTAGATTCCATACCGTTTTGAGTCAGCTTTAGTCTATGTAACCCATTGAATCATCTAACATTAGTTATAGATACTACATTAATATCACACTCTAATCACTTTATATCATTTTTGACCCAGATATCATCATAAACACAAACCAGGTTGTTGTTTTGTTTTTAAACAGTTATCGGTAAAATAAACACAGAAAAACTGAAGAATTCCCAAGATGGAGAAATACAACTATCTGTGCTGGGGCTAGGGTGAGGGGCTACAAGGTACAATGTAAAGAAATGACATGGTTTTAATTTTATTACTTATCAGAGTATGAGTAATATCTGAAACAATAGTAAATGCTGTGATTATCTGGGGAAGGCTCCCAGCAGTGTATAAAAAGAGACCCTGAGGAGTGTCAGTATTTAAGAGGTCATGGAGAACAGTCATTAGAAGAAGCAGAAACAATTAGAGAAGAGCAAGAATCACAACATGAAGGTGCTACAGAAACAAGAAAATAACTCCAAGAAGAATCGCGTACAGCAGAGAATTCCAACAAAATCAAGAAATAAGAAATATATCTTTTAGAAATGACAGTTAAAAATTCACTGGTGGTCTTACACTTTATTGTTTTGGTCAGCCAGGGTAGTGGGCAGAGGCCAGGGTCAACCGGTAGAAAGTACGTGAAAAATCTCTCCTGAAGACTTGAGTGAAAGAGTATAAAAGTATTAAGAGTAATACACCCAAATGTGGCAAGACAAATTAGAAGAAAATTAAGAAACTATAATCTAAGGGAAAGAGTGAAGAAGCAGATATTGGGGGAAAAAAAGAAAACAGGAATAACATGTAGGGTGCGGCCCTGGAAAAAGTAGAAGAAATCCGAGTCAAGAACTCAGGTAATTGGGTTATGCTCAGTGATACAGAAATATAATTTCATTTTATACTTAAGTAAAGATGAGAATATATAAATATGTACAAAACTGTCCCTAATAGATAGGAAGTCAAAGCCGATTTCACCTAACAGCTCATATTTTCTTGAAGTTAGAGACATGGGGATACTAGCTGAATACCGAACAAAGAAACAAACTCACAGTCATCAGTCAATTCTGACTCACAGCGACCCCATGTGACAGGAGGCCACTGCCTCTGCGGGTTTCTGAGCCTGCGGCTTCTTACAGGAGTAGATTGCCACAACTTTCTTCCATCGGAGTATCTGGTGGATTTAAACTACTAATTGATCTAATTGAATATTAAGTGACTAAACAGTGAAATTATATTGTCCCCAACATGCATTTGGAAAATCACTTTGTTTTTGTTTTCCTCCAGCAAAATGAGAGGCTGATGATAGACAGTCAGAAGACAGCGCTTGGATTAGCGTTCACACATCCAGCTAGTTCCTACTGTGACTACTACAGTAAGCAGAGATGGGCTTTCTCACTTGTACTGCAATACTTGCACTGCAAGTGATGTAGGTAACCTGAAAAGTCCGCACATGTTCTGGCACTCAGAAAAATGAACGATCAGAACCTGCAAGTGACGATTTCAGTACTAACCAAATGAACGGCCTGCTCATTTTGCACAAAAGGACACTTTCTTTTCCAGCAAGGATAAGCATTTGCAATGACTTATTCTAAAGACAGACATTCCACTCCGCACAAACAAGGAAGGGGCAACTGCAATTAATCAGGCAGATGATGTTTTTCTTCAAAGAATTCAAACAGTTCTCCACTAAGAAAATAAACAAGTTCCTTGATTTTCTATCACGGTAAACTGATCTGGAGAAAAGTTTAAAAGTTAATCCTGCAACTCCTAACTTGAGAAGCGCGAGCTGCTTTCTTCTTTCTGGCTTTTCCCTCCTCACTGGTGTGCCTTGTGACAAGTCACAACCAATCTACCTCATCCTTTCATGAGCTGATGGGACAAATTTGAAGAGAGTACTTCTCCCACATGCATACTACAGAGACAGGAATACTTTAGACTGGCCACCACTCTTCTGGCTGCTTTGTTGCTACACTGTCAGAAAAATGTGATGCGGGCCTATGCTAGACATGCCAATTTGGAAAAACAAATGGAAAGTAACCTTTCCTCAGTGCCTTTTCTAAATAGATATATAAACTCAACAATAGGAGACCGTTAATTTTTAATACAATATGGCTTATGGTATTAAAATGCTCAACTTATCGTACTGAATTTTTAAAGATCTTATATTCACACTCCACTTTACAAAGTAGTTCCACTGGGAAAATTCAAGTGATGTTCATCAAAACATTGAAAAATACATGATTCTTTACTCTGATTTACCAATAAGGAAATGCAGGTTCAACTTGAAGCCAGAGAAAAGCTGCAAGGGTAGTGATAGCAATTCTTCAAGGACAAGTGCAATTAGCTTCTATCCACAGCAAAGATGCATGTGTGCTTCCATCCCACTATCCATACATTCTCACTGTAGCATCCATCGATTTCTATTACAGGCAGGTCACTTGTTTATGAGCTCCTTAAGGGCAAAGGCTCTATCCCTTTTGATCTCTGTGATCCTCATATTGAGTAATTGTATCATCCTGCATGTGACACTTTATGAGGAAAAAATGCTTCCTGCTAGAAACTGCTCTTAATTCAGACAGGTCTTCTTTGATGCTTTAATACTCATAATGAGTCAGCTCAAACTCTTTGGCAACTTAAACCACGTTAGTTACAAAGGCAGATGTTATTTCAAACTCAAAACAAACTCACTTGGGGGAGGGAGTGGAACAAAGAAGAGCTGATACCAAGGGCTCAAGTAGAAAGAAAATGTTTCGGAAATGTTGATGGCAACATATGTACAAATGTGCTTAATACAATTGAAAGATGTATTTTTATCAGATTTGTAAGAGCCTCCCCCACAACAAAATAATTAATAATAAAAAAACTACTTAAAAAAAGAAAAAAAACTAAAAAAGCAAACCAAACTCACTGCCATTGAGTCAATGTGGATTCACGGCAACCCCCTGAAGGTTACTGAGACTGTAACTGTGTACGGGAGTAGACAGTTCAGTCTTTTTCCCGTGGAGCTGCTGGTGGTTTGGAATAGCCCACCATATGGATGCAGCCCAACACATACCCACTCCACCCCAAGGCTCCAAATACTAAATCACTCAAGATGAATTATGCTGAAGTGTGCATAATACATACAGTAAATACATACATACAAAGTGTGCAAGATACATACAAAAGTATATGAAGCAAGATATGAACTAGCATTCATAATATATTACGAGAAGTAAAAGAAAAGCCAGTTATCCAGAGAAAATATTTGCAAAATATATATTTATCTAATAAGTACATTTAACCAAAACACAAAAGGGCTTCATGGAAAGGTACATGGAAAAATTCCATTTTTCTTTCATTCTATTTTTCCATAAACCTTTTGAAATCCTCTTGCATACAAAGAACTCTAAAACAAATTAACAGTAACAAAACAATCCAGTTACAAAAATCAGCAAAATATTTGAACAGAACCCTAACCAAAGAAGATACACAGTTGAAAATGTATATGGAAATAGGCTTAATATAATTGACCATTGGAGAACTGTTATAGGCGACCACTACTTTCCTATTAGCAGAGCTAACATCCCAAAGACTGACACCTCCAAATGATGGTGCGGCTGAGGAGCACTAGGAGCAGTAGGAGTTCTCTCTCACTAGTCAGAGGGATGTAAAGGGGTCAAATGGTGCAGTCACTTTGGAAGACAATCTGGTAGATCCTTACAAAGCTTACCATACAATCCAGCAATTGTGCTCCTCCCTCGG